TAATAGAGTTTACAAATCCATTTCTATTCTAGAAATACTTAATTCCATTTTCTTTAGTTCTAAATAGGATAAGTATTTATTTACTTAATGGAATTGTGACACAGATGGTTGACATTCTAGGTTTTGGTTGCAAAAATGTTACTTGTATTGTGTTCCCATATTGTACTGACAGTGGTCACAACTGGATTGTGCTGAGCTGGTAAATGGCGAATGGAAGTGACACCAGTGAAGTGCAACTTGGTTTTCCACCTTTTTCTAAAAAAGAAATGCCAGTATCATCAATATCACAGGTGCAGTGCTTGCTCCTTTATCATCTGCTGAGCACCCAATGCTGTACATTACCCCTTCAACATTTTAAGCTCTTATTAGTGTTGTTGACACAGCATTTATTAACCAAGACATCCTTTGAAATAAGTATTTTTAAGTTCGAGGGTCCTGTGACCACTGTCTGTGAAGAAGATGAAAAAATTCTGGTAGAACTCATTCTTGAATACCCCAGTTTATAATTTAAGGCATGTCAAAGAGTGAACTTTTTTGTAGTTGTTACAGGATAATACAAATTCCAGTCAAGTACCTTTGAGGTATGGTTTTGTAGACTCTGCCTTTTTAGGTATCTCAGTTCCATGACTAGTCTTTATGATTGCACATCTCTATTATTACTAGCATTGATTGCTCGTAAAAAGTAACACTTATAATTAGGAGAGCTCAAAGTTACTACCTGGAAGAGAGGATAAGAAGAAAGCAAAATGTAAAAGTCACTTCATCTTAGTATTTCAGTTCTGCAATATATCGTTTATTTTTTTTCTAATATAACTGAGCTTTATGTTGATAACAAGCTACTGAGTTAATCTATTTCAGCTATTGAGACTTCTTTTTTAATAACAGAACTAATGAAGGAGTATTAAGGAGAGCAAAAATATATTTTGCAGGGCATAATTTTTGCAGAATTATTTTCCCCTCCCCTTCCAATATGTTTTTAATTTAGTGTAACTTTTAAGGCTTTATATGTACAATATGTAAGGGAGAACATCTTAAGGGTGAAGCTATCAAATTCCATAAAATAAAAATACCTTGCCTAAAAATAATGGTTCAGATTTTAGTTAACTTCATAGTATGTGTTTATTGTATTTATCCACTAAGCTTTTTGGCGGGGTTTTGTTGGGTTTTTTTGTTTTGTTTTTTTTACATCAGTAGATTCATATTACTTAGAATCATGATGAATTATGAGTATATGTCAAAAGCACCTCAACAAATATCTTGCATGTTGTAGATACTAGGTAGTATGGTACTATATTAAGTGCAAGGTGACTGGAGCAAGTACTTATTTTTATAACAAAGTCCATATATTTCTTCCAGTAGAAGTGTAAAATTTGCTTGGTCAAGATTACATTTTAGTACTAAACTAAAAATGAATTACCAATTTTATTTCTCAATATTTAATTGCCTATTTACTTCATATGTATTTGATTCAGCTAGCTCAAAAATGAGGATTGTTTTATGATCTAATAATATGCTTTAATCCTTCATTGCTGTGCCTTTTACTGCTACAAGAAAAAGTCCATGCAGCTGATTAAGAGACCACTTTTAAGTTCATGCGTTCATTTCTGAGACAGATTATAATGTCTGTCATATGAGCATTGTGGATGCTTCTTAAATGCCCTACTTACAACAGAGATGAACTTTTGACATTTAAGTAAGAAACAGTTTTCTTCTACATAGGTAGATGGGTTACCCAGAAGGCATGACTGATGCACATAAAAACTATAATCATGTTTTCTCATCATTTTTACATGCTTCTAAAGAGTACACCTGAGCCTCTTGGCAACGATCTTTGGCTTAATTTTAAATACTACTGCCTTTTATTTTCCCTCCCCGCAATACAAGCAAATAGCTTTACCATTTATTGATGTTGTATGCAGTTTAGTAGTCATGGTCATGTTTATGAGCTAGTCTTGCTTTGTGTTGAATTCAGTATAGTCTGTAATGTAAAAAAAATATAAATTCAGCTGTCGGAGATATTGAGTGTGTGTGTTGACAAGTGCTAGAAATTTCTGTAACTTTTTTTAACATTTTTGCTTGAGTCACTGAAATGCCAGGCCAGTTTCAGATCCTAATATGAAACTATTTTAACTTAACAAATAAGTTTACACATACACAAGTACATTTTCCATCTTGTGAAGAAATGGGTGATTTCTTTATGTGTATGTACATACGTATGTATACATAGTAATGCTGCCTTTTTTTAACCTGGTGTAAATACACACACACAGAGGTTTGCTTGCACTGTTGAACAAAATAGATCTCTTTGTAAAGATCAAGGAATACTTTACATTTACCTCAAATCTTCAGGAACATTAAAGCTTTTAGATTGATAGTAACAGACCTAATCTTCCCATCCCTGTTTTATAGTGAGCTGAAAATTTTATCAAAGTTTAGTTTATATCCTACTTGCCTTTGTTTTGGTTGAACCCACTGTAAGGTGCCCTGAGCTTTGCAGAAGAAATATCTTGCAAATGCTGACATTGTTTCTTAGTGGTAATAGCTGTAATTGTATCCCAGTTCCCTTGGTTAGAAGAACCTCGTAGTTCTTTCCAGCTTCTCTGGATTCTTTAAGATTTTCTATTCCTATCTCTAGAAAATACAATTCCTTTTATTTAAAAACTGGAAGTAATTTAAACGAATATGTTACTTCTAAAAATTGGGGAAATAATTTCTTTGTTATCAGCTGAAGAAGAAAATTATAATGCATCTACTTTTTACAGTTTTCTTTTATGTTTTATTTAAGACCCAGCTCAGTTGTGCAGTTACAGAAAATGTTTGCCTGTAACATGATGGGAAAAACAAACAAACAAAAAAAACCAAACCAAAACAGAAAGGAGAAAAATTGAAACAAAACCAAGTATGAAGAAATTAACAGTTCTTAGACTCTCTTAGTCTGTTTTTAACCTATGCAGTTGACAATCTTGAAATCATATCAAGGAATAGTCTGCTGGTGGAGGTGCTTCTCCCCATAGAGAGCAAGTGTCACTACACGCTTTACTAGTCACTGTTCTAGAGGAACAGCAGTACATTTGAGTTGATAACTCTCCTTCCTGGGTTTAAGACAGCATCTTTGTGCTTTAATTTCCAGTGCCTAGTGACACTGCAACCAGTGTAGAGATTTATTCCCATGCAAAACAGATTGACTTAGGGTAATTTGAATACTTTATGCATGGATAGATTCATTAGGAAAAGAAGGCAAGGCAGAACTATAAAAAGAACTAATAATCTTGCTAAAGGAGCCGTTAATTCCCTATAGCATTGGAGACACTTTCATTGAACAGGGGCAAGGACAGCTGAGTTTGCAGAGCTGATGGAGTCTCCACAGGCATCCTCTGTTCTTTGTCCAGAAACAGATCACAGAGATTACTTCTCTTTGTATTCTTCAGAACTTTATTTAATGTGTTTGGATCATTTCTGGCTTTGTTAGCTTAGAAGAGAATCACAAAATGGTTGGGGTTGAAAGGGGCCTCTGGAGGTCGTATTGTCTAACCCCCCTGCTCAAGATGGGTCACCTAGAGCCAGTCGTTCAGAACCATGTCTAGACAGTTTTTTTAATATCTCTATGGATGGAGACTTCACAACCTCCCTGGGCAACCTATTCCAGTGCTCTGTCATCCTCACTATAAAAAAGTTTTCCCTGATGTTCAGAGGTAACCTCCAGTCTTCCAGTTAGTGCCCATATCCAACTGGTCCTCCAACTGGGCACCACTGGAAAGCACCTGGCTACAGCCTCCTTGCACCCTCCCTCCAGGTATTTATGTACAATAATGAGATGCCAGATTGATCTTTGCTCCAACCCTTCCCCTAGTCTCTGGAACAGAGTCATTCAGTCAATATTTTTTTCCAAAGATGTATTTCTACCCATCAGACATGTTGGACTCGCATGCTTTGTGCCTGAACGTCCTGCCTTGGCCCAAGCTTAGCACACACAGCAGTACCAGTGACATCCTTTTGTAGTCTGCTGCACTGGGGAAACAAATAGAGGTAAATTGTCTCATTTGGATAAAAGCCAAGAAAACCTGCTTGCCTGCAGTTTGTCAGACTTTTTGCTTCTGAGGTGACTTGTATAATATTCCAGTACTAAATAGGAGTTCCAGCCATATATTGAGACACCCTGATGCTGTAGCAATGTAGATGGTCTACTGATGCCAACAAAGAACAGCAATCTGATATGAGAGAAAGGAAAGGGCTAGGTCAAAAGCAAGCAGTCACCAAAAAAAGAAAACAAAAAAGGAAACCGAACATGGCAGGATCACATTTTAAAAAAGAAAGATCCAAACCTCCAGAAAACTAAGTGAGGGTTAAATTTCTGCCTTTTTTTTGTGTGTGTGCATGTGTATATTCATTGCTTTAAAATTTTATTCTAAAGACATTTAGGAATGTGGCTGGTTCTTTCTGATTGTTTTGCTGTGATAGAGACATTTATTATTCATTGCAATAATTACTGTGTAATATTTTATACTAGAAGTTGTTCACATTGCACAAGCAGGAAATGCTCAAGAAGTGGCTGATTTAACTGTTCTATTTTTAACTCTGTACCAAATTATAGTGAGCAGTGTTAGCACTTACACTTGTAGGCTTTTCACTACCACGCTGATCAGTACTTTCTCACGAAATGTGAAATGTATATTTCCAGAGCTTCTGTGCATAAATAAAATAGGAATTTTACCCAGAATTTTAGTTATTGTGTGCTGTTTCCAAGGGGATTTTTTTTCAGGATTCTCCTAATGCTTTTATCACCCAGCATCTCTGATCAGGAAAGTAATATATTGCTGATTGCAGAACTCTTGAACTCAGTCTGGCAGCTGCAGTGTGCATCTTCTCTGATCCAGTCTCCTAGTTACTTATTCACATATCATTTGAAATTATTTTCAAGGCTGTTTGAAAACCTCTTGACATTGCATTATTCATGTTTCAAATCTTATGGTGATTTGTTTTTTCTTTTCTTTGTGTTACAGATAACAGACGAGTAACTTTGGAAAGGTCTCGTTCTCGCCACAACGGAACAATTGCAGCTGTATGATTCTTCTGATGCCAAAGAATTAGTGAATTGATTTATTTACAAGTAAATGGATATGCTTTGAAAAGAGTTTATCATACAAATTGGCAATGATCATAAAGGAATACTGGTATTGATTACATGAGAAGGTGTATATTTTAAAAGCTGTTGCTAAATAATCCACATACTGTATCTTATTACCCCCAACTACCAAGATCTGTAAACAGTGTTAAACAGTAGGAATGATATCTTATTATCTTATGTTCTTTCTTTTTTTTTCCTGGGTTGTTTTTTTGTTTGTTTTGGGTTTTTTTTTGTTAAGCTGGCAACTTACATGGAAGGAGTTGGGGATTTCTAGGTTATGTTTTATATCGGTAAGAAAATACAAATTTGTTGAAAGAATACGACTGTGGATTCCATTTGCAGTTCTGATTTGGACATGGAAGGAAAAAACAATAAAATTGTATGTTAATAAATTCAGAGCTGAGCTGAGCTGGTCTACATTATCAGAATCTGTTTTGTAACCATAAAAAGCAACGCATAACCCCAGTCAGGTTGCTAAAAATCTGGTCTCAATGTACAGCCTGGTAGATTCAGCAGTTTGGCTGCAAGTAGGATATACCACATATCTACAGTTTTGGTGATATGATGATGTATAGTTACTTATCACTGCTTAAGAAAAATTTAAATAAAACAGAGCATAGGGTTTTACCCAAAATAATTTTTTTCAAGGGCAGGATATATTTTTAACTGTATTTAAGGAGGAATCATTCTAATTATGCACTTATAGATTCTTTATAGAGATATCTGGGGGGAAATAAAATTGTCCTATTTTACGTATGCTAAAAATACCTTTGTGTAGGTTTTGAGACAAGCTACATTATGAAATTATTCAGAACTGCCTCTTGAGTTTTACCTCTGTTTCTCAGGTAAAATATGTAGCGGGATCTCCACTGGTGGATTTTAGTGCTGAGAGTTTAGCAGCTAAGAACAGATTTTCTACCTGGAGCACTATATAGCAGTGATCAATGATTGCAGCAGTCCTTTTATTCAGGAAGCTCCTCCCATTCTCCTTTGTATACAGGCCTCTGCACTGCAGTACCTCAGGTGAGCAGTCAGTTTAGTAGCTGACACTGTCTGTTTTCTGCCACTCTATGGGAAACTACAGTTCCCTTTTCTCCCCAGACTCTAGTTGAATGTACAATCTGTTTGGTGTTCAGGTCAGTCTTCACCATCCTTTGTACTAAAGGTTCGTTGCTTATCTGGATGGGGTGGAGGATTTTAAGTGGGAGTTCCAGTGGAACTACTCATATGTTGCTCAGCTATGATATTTTAAAAAGCAGAATACACTGTAGTAGATGGCACTTGTTCTCAATTTATTACTGCTTTTCACTGATTGAATTCTTATGAATACTTTCATTGCCTAATGTTATGGGGAACTTTTTTTTTAAAGTTATATAAAGAGTATGTGGAAGGTAAGGAGTCACATTGTTTTCTGTGCACAAACTGCTAGTTCTAGAGGAGCATTCAGTACTGGGGCAGTGTAACTTTGCACTACTGCTTGAGCCAAGCATCTTTGTACAGTAGGTTCTTTTTGCTTCTCTGGTAAGATACTCTTAAGACTATCTGACTAGTTTGAGATAAATCCTCACATTTTCAAAGTACAGTAATCAATATCCAATTATTGTAAGAAAAGATACAGCTCCTTTTCAATCTACTATGGATTTTATTTTTTTTTTTCATTGTCTTCAAAGGAAACAAGGGTTATGCCCGTTGCTCTATCTCAAAACATAGGAATGCAGCTGAAGCCTAATGAAATGTGTGCTGTCAAGTAATGCTCCTCCTAGATGGGCTGGGCTTTTTTTTTTCTGTGCTTTGAGTAACAAACTAAAGAGTTATAAGGTACTTGAGGAAAAAAAATAATCATGCAACAGGATTCAGTCTCCCTGTTCATCAGGAAGATCCTGTTTTGTGGAAGGTGGACATCAACCTTGTATTGAAGCACACCTTTTAAAACAGCACTATTACTTTTACAGGTATAAAAATGTGCTTAAGGTACAAAGCCAGTTTAAAAGGATTAAGTTCATAATTTCAATGTAAATTTGTACTACAATCAATAGTGTATTAGAATTTAAATTTTAAAATTAGCATTTTTCTGGGATTTACAAGTATGGGTATAATCTTTATATATGAAAACTCAACAGCTCACAACAGAATCTTTATACTGTAGCAGTAATTATTAGTCCAGGAGTTTTACATTTCATTGGGCTGTAATTTTTTTCAAAGCTCTGTGAAAGCTGACTACAGATTTTCAAGAACCAAATCTTAGGAAAAGAAAAAAGCAAGTCCAAAACATCGCCATCATCTGATGCTTCTATTTTGCTACTATTTTTTTCATATTTGAAACATTTATGTAATTTAATGGACATATCTGTTAGAACAAAAGGTGTCTTTCAAAGGAAAACTAGTTTAGAAGATAATTTATGTAAATATAGGGTGCTCGTATTTATGAAGTCTAAAATATTTTCTGAAATTGTTGCTGGTCACTTTGTCTTTTGATAGTTTTTCAGTCTATATTAAATTGCAGATATTTTTAATGTTTTTATTATTGATCTAATTTTCAGAGGGTCACATGTTTATCTAGAAGTGTAGGAAGAGTAGCACCTTTTTCAGAAATGCACTTGCCTTATTTTCTAATTTTAAAATATGAAATATATCAGTTAAATTATATTTGTATTCAAAGTAATCCCAGAAAGAAAATTGCTGGAGGGTTCATACATAAATTTCTTGCTAATTATGTTTCACTATATGTCCTCTGAGACATTACATTAACAATATACCAGCACATCTGTTTGAGTCACATTTTACCAGTTACAAGTACTGAAGAGATTTTTTTTTTTTTATGGTGTTACACTGTTTACATTTCTTAGTTTATTTAAGAGGAAGATAATCTTACCTTTGCGATGAATTGAGCTAAATTTGCATTTGACATGGGAATTAACTGTTTAAATCATATACAAATATACATCTCTGTTGCTTAACTACTGGCTCTACAGATCAGAAATATAAAGACACTAGACATTTTTTGCTCAAGTTTTATGCAGTTTACTGAGAAAAAGTACAACACAGTTTGTCATGTATGTTTGTTTGTGATTCAACCAATATCCTTTCCCAGCACATAAGTGATGTTTGGTTTGAGTGTTAATTGTATTATGAGCTGATGCTAAAGCCAAAACAAAATTAGTGCCTCAGAGGGCATTAACTAACAGCTTCAGGAAGTATTCCCAGAAATACTATTACATAATTTGTTCTGGTTTTAGACAACCATGGTCAATATGAAAAATGTTATCTAAAATTATCTGTTTTCTTGAAAATTCAGATAAAAATGCAAGCATTCCCATAGTTCCTGTCTGTAATACGCGGATAGTTACGAATATCTGTATATTTTTGCATTTTTGTGTGTGGTATATGTACTACCTCAGACAAATGCTGTAAAAAACATCATGTTTTCATGGTTTCTATCCAAACCACAATTCATCAGTGACTTACCTTCTATTCATCCCACAATATACAAATGGTTTGCAAAACTCTGAGAATCTGGCTGAGTTTTAGGTTTGGCTCCGAAAATCCTTCTATAGCTTTCATTAAGAAAACTCTGCAGTGTTCTGCTTTTGCATCCCTCAGGCAAATCCTGCTGTGATGGGTGAATTTAGTACTTCTTATCTTGAGAATGACATCACTGGTAAATATTTAAAGCTGGTAATAGTTATGTGGGAGCAAACTTACCTATATATGTAAATTGCTTCTTATCCATTAAACAAAGGCTTGGCTGAATTATACTTTCATGTTTGCCTTCAAATTGTTGAGAGGTCAGGCATAACAAATGCAAAGCGATAAAGCAGCAGTGGAAAGCCCACCTCTTATGTGCCATACTGTATTTGCAAGCTATTCATTTTAAAATAGGTATTGTAAGAAACCTCCACGCCTCTTCTGCAGTATCTACACACACACACGGACGCATGCACACAAAATGTAAATAAATAAAATCAAAGCATATAAGGCCAAGTCCCTCAGCTTCAGGTGTCTCTATTTCAGATCACATATTGCTTTTGTGCACAAGAAAGGGAGTTGTGTAAGCCTGTGAATTCTGCAGTCCTGCAAGCTGTCACTCAGCACCCACTGATGTCATTAGAAGAATGTTAAAGAAGAAAGATTTGTTCCTGTAGTGCTTCTTTTAGCACTGTTTGAGGTGGTACATATGCCACAGAATGTGAACAATTATCTATTACAGTTTAGTCAGTCTGCTGTCATGCACCATTTGGTTTTCCTTTTGGAAGTCAGATGACTCCTGATGCCAAAAAGTAAAAGAAAAAAAAAGTGACAAAACTCATGCATTTCTATTTTTTAAAGAGCTTTGTGTTTGTATGTAATGTTTAAAATAGGAATTTGATTAAATCACAGCCTGGCCATTGTTAATCCATGTATTCTGAAAACTGTAATAAAGATATACATAACATGAGTTTGCTAGGTCCGCCAATGCTTGACTTGTTTTTACTGATTGTTATCAACTGAGTACCATCACCTCAGAATCTGGTTTTGTTCTCTAAAATTATGTTGAAATTACTTTCTGTTCTAGCTTAATGATATTTTATGGATTTTTTATTTTTTTTTCCTCTAAGGTGTCAAGGATATTTGATTTGAATTTGGGGAAAACAGATACCTTTTCCAATGGAGAAGGACTTAAAAACAAAATCATCCGCTAAAGTATATAGTTTAAAAGAACAACATTACATCACAGTGACACCATTTTATTTTTTCAGAAATAACAATAAAAAGGAATCACTAAAAAATCACATGGGTCCATATTTATTTTAAGTGGCTGGATTCCAGTACAGACTTTTTAAGACAGACACATAGTCAGTGAGACAGCTCTTGTTGGAGTTTTCCAAATTATTTACTTCACCTGGTCACAAAATAATCTTAATGGAATAGAAACTTTTACCTTCAAAACTGTGTATGGCATC